GCTGTTGGGAATGGTGGGAGTTGGAGTCCAAAACACCTGAAAGGCCAAAGTTTGCCCATGCCTGCTGTATACCTATGCAGTTGTGTGTTTTGGATTTAGTTTTGTGCTTCGTTGCAGAATTTACTTATATAATAGCATATATGTTTCAAACATTATGATTTTTGATATTGTTATTGCTTTGTTTTACTCTGTTTCTCCTGAATAAAAACGATATAAAATTTATCCCAAGCCTTCTGGCATGTGCACACTGCCCCACTGCCACCCCCAAACTGCTTCAGTTTGCTGGGGACGGACAGAGGGTCAGCTCTGCAAAGGCCTTTGGTGGACCCGGAAAAGAGAAGCCACTGCAGGACAAAAGTTCACAGGTGAAATCAGGAAGGCAAAGGTGGGATGAAGTGAAACTGACCAAAGTAAAGAATCAACAAAGAGCTTTCCTGGGAGTGTGTCAGAAGCAAGAGGAAGAGAATCACTGGCTCTCCGAGGTGAGATTGTAACGGAAGATAGGCAGCTTGTATGCAGAACTGGTTTCCTGTTCAAATAGTAACACTCAAGAACCTGATTTATGGTCCTGGGTTATCCATATTTGTTTCCTAGTTGGGTCTAGAAAGTGGATTAAACTGCAAATAACAGGACCTCCTGCAGAACATCTTGCTCTAGTTTTTCAGTGGGTATCTCGTCATCGAGTCTCCACCAACTCAACCTAGTTTGTGGCAACCACAAAAACAAAGTTTCTGGAGTAGAACAACTCCTTTCAAAGTAAGAACTGCACAATTAAACGGGAAATAAAACTTTCAAACCAGGAAATATTTTCAAATTTTGTAATTAGAAAGGAGAGCTTTGAATCCAGGAACAAAAGAATGAGGAGTGGAGGAAGGAGGAAGGATGCCCTCAAAGAGCTGGCATCTGCTGGAGACTCCCCACCTATAAAGCCAGGTATTTTGGGAGAGACCCTCCCCTGATGTACCTTTAGATACAAACACCATCTCAGAAAAAGGTAGGCAACTCCAAGATCAGCAGAACAACGGGGATCCAACAGCGCGAGCCATGACCAATGCAACACATTTGAAACAGAAACACAGTGCCATGCTACAAACGTTTGTCCACAATGATCTCTTGCCATCCACACCATCGCACTCCATTCCACTCCAGAAAAAAATGCCACAACAGCAGTGTCCCAAGGAAAAGACACAGCTCAGTTTGGCACAGAGAAGCTAACCCCAAACAAAGGCAAAGGTGGGCTTCCTGGAGGAAAGCATTCCATGTAAACAAGGCTGGCTACAACTCTGTGCATCTCCAAGCATGGGCAAACTTCAGCCCTCCAGGTGTTTTGGACTTCAACTCTCACAATTCCTAACAGCCTACCAGTCAAAGTTTGCTCATGCCTGCTCTAGAGCACAGTGTTAGAAAGTCACCAGCAGTTTTCCATTCAGTTGTTGTTTCCTTTGAAGTCTCTCTCTCTCTCTCTATCTGCCTCTCTTTCTACCTATTCTACCTATTGACCTACCTATCTAGTAATCCATCCATCCATTCATTCATCCATCCATCCTCACTACTATCCATCCATCC